TTTATTTTAGTTATAGTCTTCTTTGATTAATAGTTTACTATTTAATCAATTCAAATCTTAAGTTATATTGATTACTAGTGACTTCACTCAGATAATCTTTATAATTTCTTGATTTATTTTATTCTTTCTTTATTTATTCACTCTTTATTAAGATAATATCCATAGATATTGACATAGGCCTTAGAAATCTTTGTCATTATTGAAAGTTATAGTCTAATTCCCCTCTCATTATCTTTAATTATTTCAGTCTCTCCCAACCCTATATTGTTAAGGTGAATTAAAGTGAAACTTCACTTACCAATTCACCGTAACAGTATGATAAGTAATAATAAAATTATATTTTATTATAGTTATTATCTAACAAAAAACTCAAAATTCAGAATTAATTTGCTTAATAAAGTAGCTATCAGAGTGTATTATAATTAGTAACTATTTTAAAAAGAGATTTAAGAAGATAATATCAAAATTATATTACAATTCAGATTATAATCAGAGTTTCTTTTTCAGTAATACTATAATTTTTTTGCTAATTTAAGTAAAATACAATATTTATCCTTTTTTTATCATTCACTTAAGATAAAACTATTTAATTTTAAATTAAATGCATTAGTGTAAAGATAGAATTTCTTTATAAAGTCAGGATAAGTTAAAAATAGATAAATATAAGTTTTTCTTTCAAAGTCTAAAATGCTTTTTCTTATTTTACTATCTAAATATATATAATATTATTTTTCAAAAGGTTAAATAAAGATACTATTATTTAAGAAATTTCTTTTATAAATTCTTTTATAATATTCTGTTAATTCAAGAAATAATCTATATTTATTGGAGTTAAAAACTCTTAAATCTATTATATTATTAAAGGATTAGACAAGTCTTGAGTAACAAAAACGGCAACTATTTTTTTATCTTTTTATAGGCCACGTGAGATATTATCCGAAAGAAAATAACGCGATCGGTGTTATTAAGAAAATTTTAGATTTCGGAACTTACCAAATCAAACCCGATGGCGGCGGCGAAGCAGGTAAACATTTATTTTATAAATCATCATGATTATAAATTTATACTGAAACCATTTATTTGTAGTGCTCATAAAAGAACACAGAATCATTGGTTTTGCTAACTCCGCTTTGAACACCTTATTTTTTTTTATAAAATATGTATGTTTTATTAAGAAGTCTCTTAAATAAATTTTATGGAACACAAATATAATGTTTAATATGTTACAGAGATTTAACATTTAATAAAATGGAATTATAGATAATAATAATAAAATTATAATAATTAAAGAAAATGAGTTTTAAGTTTGTTGTTAGGATTGTTGCTAATCAGAAATTTGACATTACACCAAGTGAAATCTTGTTTCGCGTACATTATTATATATGTTGGGTGATTTACAGCGAACAAAAAATGGTTTCAATTCTTTGTGTTTATGCGTTAATTTATTAAAGTTAACAAGTTTTATTAACACATAATAGTAAGCCAAAATGTAATTGCTATTTTATTTTATTAATACAATTTATATCTGTTATCTAATACGCACGCGTAGAACAAAATAATGAATAATATTGAATAGTCATCGCTGTTATTTAATTATATCATTTCATTTGTTGCTTTTTTATCATATAAATCAATGTTTTAACTTATTATCTAATTTTCATTTATGTTATTTTTTTTTTTTTTATAAAACGTGTATGATATCAGTACGGCGAAATTAAAACACAATACGCTATATAATAACACCAACAAACAATTAAAATAATACAACAATACATGTAATACTAAATACATAAATGCATTTTAAAATATACAACAGCATATGTATTGGTTTCGGATAATATTTCACGTGAAATACAAAAAATTAAATTTCAAATACTTGTTTACCGGCTTTTTTGCGTTTTACTATATTAGATCGAATGGATCTCTTTATTTTTACATATACATGTATAATGATATCGATATGATGATGTGATTCTGGACCAATAAAATTTTTATATTTGAAAACGTTATTTCGATAGAATCAATGTATTCCATGTATGCGAAAAAAAACTTGGTATAACGTCAAATTTCTGATTATGAGCAATACTAATAATAAAGTTGAAAACTCATTCTTCTTTAATTATTATGATTTTATTGTTACATGTATTATTTATAATTTTATTTTATTAAATATTAATTTCTCTGCAACATATTAAACATTATACATGCATTTGTGTTCAATAAAATTTTATTTATTTAATAAAATATACATATTAACGGTGAGGTGTTCAAGCGGCGTTAGCGTAACTTTTGATTCTGGATTCTCTTAAGAGCACTACAAAATAAATGATTTCAATACTCAGTATAATTTATAATCATGATAATTTATAAATAAATGTTTACCTTCGCTGCCGCCGTCATCGGGTTTGATTCGGTAAGTTCCGTCATCTAAAGTTTTCTTAATAACACCGGTCGCAGTCTCATTAGTGTTATTTTCTTTCGGATAATATTTCACGTGGTCTACAAAAAAATTTCAAAGTCAAATTTCAAAAACAATAAATACGCTAGAATTAAGAAAAATAATTACCGTTTACTTTATATTTTGTCATTTCGAATAAAGTTAAGCAACTAGTTAATGATATTAACATTAGATCGAATGGATCCCATTTTTATATTTTTTCAAACGCATCTTCACCAATACGAATCTAAACGTTATTGTACGATTGCGGAATTCTGAATCAATAAAAATTATTTATTTGATAACGTTTCAAGTGCATCCTCAACAATATTAATCTGAACGCTATTGTTCTGGAATTATTTATTTAAAACATTCTAAGTATATCTTCGACAATATAAATTCTGCACGTTGTCATTCTAATTATGGAACTTAATACGATTGTTGAATTCTGGATGATAAACTTCTTGGCGTATATTTCTGTATCGGGGAGATAAATATGACGTTTACATATGCCGAAATCTGCGGTAATCGTTATTGGTGCCGGTTTAGGATTTTATGCGAAAAATTTTACGAGATCAAGTGTGATGCAGTAATTATAATTTTACGGGGTCTTTAATTTTTAATGAGACTTTCAACAGGAACTAAATTTGAAACAACGCTTTTGCCTTAAACTCCAACAGCATTTAATCAAATTATAAGATATGCTTTTTCTGGATCAAGGACCCAACCATTAATCAACTCACCGTTATAATTCGGGTTTTGGTGGATCAAGAGCAATTTGTGCGCAAGTAAGACATCATAAAAGTAAAGCTTTAAATCACACTTTATTTGACCTTTGCTATAACACGTATATAGATTTTTGTTCTCCGATTACAGGAGCAATTATTGGATAATTTGAGGAATCATTGAAAAATTATTAGTTAAAAAACAAAGATGCATCGAAAAGGGAAATCGGTGTTACATATACATGTGCATGTAATCAATTGTTACCGTTGACATTAGAATTTCCTTTAATTGCACCAGTTGATCATCTTGTGACGTGCCGCAACATCTAGATGCGAAAAGCATTACATGTACATGTATAACAATGAGCCCTTATCAAAACAAACCATGTCCAAATTAGCGCATTATTCAACAATCATCTTATTTTTTTATTATAGCAATAATAAACCTTTATTCTTTTTCAATAACATAATACACGTAATATTATAATTAGATCATCTGATAGTACATTTGGCAATTCTATATAAAGAAAGGTTGTTCTCAAATCTATCTTCTAATATTCACACGTAGATGTATAGATATACTTTTTTTCGCTAGAATAATAAACCAGTCTTTGCCAATGGATCAGGTCCAAATTGGAGTACAGGTCCCGTTCATTTCTTTAACACTATCATATGACGATTATAGCTTAATAGGCGTGCTCCTTGATGATAATCTTACACGTATACATGTATTGATTTTTGATTATGGTTAGGATTAGGGTTAGAGTCGGAGGACTAATGTAAAATTTTTGCAAGAATATTTTATTAAAACACAAAGTAGATATAATTTCGAGATGCAAACTATTTTTCAAAATAAACGGTTTAAAATTTTTCCGTTGCATATTTAATTTGGCTATCATCTCTAGTTAATCTTCATTAAAGATGATTGGCTGATTAATTATAAAAAATACAAGGATTGTACAATTGTACATGTATTTGATGTTTATTTGTGTATTACGTATTGTTTATTTCCGCACGTTTTTATAAAATGAAAAAGTCAAAACATTAATATTTATGATAAAAAGTAAACAAATGAAATGATATCATGAAACATCAGTGATAACTATTCAATAATTATTTATTTACGCGTATGTATAATTTAAAAGATATAAATTATATTAATAGAATAACAATTAACTGACCACTTTTCTCGAAACAAATTTCAAATTTCCTAATGAGTTTTACCCCTGATATAAGTCACAAGCCACAGATTGATTCCTAATTTGGATAAATGATGCGGCATAAACAAAAGCGGGACAGTTCGTATTGTCAAACGTCGGTGGGAATCAACATAGTAACAAAGTGAAACAGAAAAAAAATGACAGATCATGTGACTTCTGATCACATTCTGTCTTTCCGGAGTTCCTGGAGTCTGCCCCTGATACCTTTAAGGTTAGAATGAGAATGTCATGCATTTATTATTTATTTACAATGTAATTCGAGAGAATAATGCTTTGTTTTTTTTATTTACAATGTAATTCAAGAATAATTTGAACTTTAAGAATAAACTTGCATTTTGTTTTTTTATTTATAATGTAACTCAAGAATAATTTAAATATTAAGAATATTCAAATAAAATAAGACTTATCATTATTAAATTCTCACTTTATCTTATTAATAGTTAAAGTTCACTTATTCTTTCCTATTCAACTACCTTCTTGATTACTTGTTCAATTACTTATAAGATTGTCCACTTGATTGTTACTAACTTGTTCACTCTCACTTTCTTGCTTGTTCACTTGCTCGCTCTTGCTTACTTTCTCAGACTTGAGTTAATTACAATTATTATTATCCAGAAGAAATAGTTAGACTTTGATTTCAGATTGATCAAAGTGCTTAAAAGAAATTTTAAAAGTAGAAAAATTACTCACTGATACAAAACATGAAGATAATCCAATGGTAAAGAAAGCTTGAATTATCTGATAGAGATAGAAATATACATCTGATCAGAAAAGTTCTCATTATACTGGTAATTATTCATCATCATCAGAAAATCCAAATGATAAATCAAGAACTGAAGTTGAAGAAACTTGTCAATGAAAAGGTATAGAATTATCAAGTAATAGTATTAATCAGATTATCAATCATAATTATTATCATTCTAATATCTTTGATAGTTAAAGACTTACTTGCTGAAAGAAAAAATATCAGTTTAATAAGATATGAAAAAAAATAAATTCCAAAGGCAAAAAATTACTTATCAATATAAAACATGAAGTTAATTTAATGATAAAGAAAGCTTGAATTATCTGGTAAAGATGAAAATATATATCCTGATCAGAAAAGTTCTCATCATACTAATATTACCAGAAAACTCAAATGATAAAACAAGAACTAAAATCAAAGGAACTTATCAATGAAAAGATAGAATCACCAAATATTTTTTATTAAGTAATAGTATTGGTCAGATTATCAAACACAATTCCGATACCTTTGAAAGTTAAAAATTAACTTGCTAAAAGAGAAAAATATCAGTTTAATAAGAAATAAAAAATAAGTTCCAAAGAAAAAAAATTATTTACTGATATAAAATATGAAGATAATCTAATAATGAAGAAAACTTGAATTATCTGGTAACAATGAAAATATATGTTTAGTCAGAAAAGTTCTCATTATACTGATAATTATTCACTATTATTAGAAAATCCAAATGATAAATCAAGAACTGAAGTTAAAAGAACTTGTTAATAAAAAGATATAGAATCACCAAGTAATAGTATCAATCAAATTATCAATCATAATTCCAATATCTTTGATGATTAAAAACTAGCTTGGTAAAAGAGAAAAATATTAGTTTAATAAGAAATAAAAAAAAGAAATTCCAAAGGCAAAAAATTATTTACCAATATAAATATAAAGATAATTTAATAGTGAAGAAAGCTTGAATTACCTGGTGGTAATGAAAATATATATCCAGTCAGAAAAATTCTCATCATACCAGTATAATTATTTACTACTATCAGAAAATTCAAATAATAAATCAAGAACTGAAGTTGAAGGAACTTGTCAATGAAAAGATATAGAACTATCAAGTAATAGTATTAATTAAATTATTAATCAGATTATCAATCATAATTATTATCATTCTGATATCTTTAATAGTTAAAAACTTACTTACTGAAAGAGGAAATATTAATTTAATAAGAAATGAAAAAAAAATAAATTCCAAAGGCAAAAAATTATTTACCAATACAAAATATAAAGTTAATCCAATAGTAAAGGAAGCTTGAATTACCTAGTGGAGATGAAAATATACATTCTGATCAGAAAAGTTCTCATTATATTGATATAATTATTCATTATTACCAGAAAATCCAAATAATAAATCAAAAATTAAAGTTGAAAGAACTTATTAATGAAAAGGTATAGAATTACTAAGTAATAGTATTAATTAGATTATCAATCATAATTATTATCATTTCAATATCTTTGATGATTAAAGACTTACTTATTGAAAGAGAAAATATCAGTTTAATAAGAAATGAAAAAAAAATAAATTCTAAAGATGAAAAATTACTCACCAATACAAAATATGAAGTTAATCTAATAATAAAAGAAATTTAAATTACCTGGTAAAGATAAAAATATGCATCCTGATCAGAAAAGTTCTCATTATACTGGTAATTTCTTATCACTATCAGAAAATTCAAATAATAAATCAAGAACTGAAGTCAAAGAAACTTGTCAAAAAAAATATATAAAATAGTATTAAATAAATCTTAATTTCACATTAAGAAATTAGTATCAGTCAGATAATCAATTACAATTATCATCATTCTGATACCTTTGATTATTAAAACTTGTTAGAAAAGAAGATAATTGAATATTATTTTTATTAAGATCTTTATTAATTAATTAAAGTACTTTAATACAAAATATAAAATAAGGTCTTTAATTAAAAAAAGTAATAATTGTGATTAGAAATAAATCAATAAAATATATTAATTACATCAAATATTTATTTGTTCACAAATTTATTTTTTTTATAATTCTTTTGTTAAATAATACTTGTAGTATAGATATAGTATCTAATAAATATATTTCTCTTTCCCAATTAAATTTACAAGTAATATCAAATTTATCTAATTATAGCTATAACAATACTAATAACTCCTAAAATAAATAAAAATTAGCTTATTTAATAAAATTTTTCATTTTTTATAGATCTTGCTAAATATAATATTTACTTGTATTATAATATATAATATAATAATGTGACAAGATATGACATGATGTATTAAAAACAGATAAAATCTTGTTAAAGATTAAATATCACAATTTATATAAGAATTTCACAATCTCATCAAATTACTTTCTAAAAATAAAATGAATAAAATTAATGATATGTTAATAATATTAGAAATATTTTGCAAGTTGAATAGAAATT